GCGGCGGGGGCGGGCAGGGGCTGTGGCGGGGTCTTGCTGTGCCTACCCGGAGGGGCGCTTGGAGGTGGCGGGGCGGGCAGGGCACGGGATGCTGAGGAGCCCTTGGCTTTCACGGGAAGTTACCAGTCCGCTGAAGAGGAAGAAGAGCTGCCAGCAATGCTGGCTATTGTCAGAGCCAGAAAGGTGATGATCTGCATCACAGTTCATGGTTTGGTTCCCCTCCCCTGTCTGTACATAGATGCCCGGCAGTATCTCGGTGCTTGGTTTGAGCAGGGCCCCAGTCCAGTGCTGGGGAAAACAAGAGTTGCTGTTGATGTGTCTTTGTTCCTTTCATGATCAATGACTGGACTCTGCTCAGGTGAAGGGCGTGAGAGCTCCTGTACAGAGCGCTGTGGGGTATCTGCACGTGGGTCTGGCTCTTCCTACCTCGCAGGCTTTGCATCTTGTTTCCCTGTAGAAATACTGATCTTTATCTTCTACTTAAATGGTGTCATCTGGATTCGGTTGTCACCTGTGTTGGGAACTCCTGTATTTACTCTGAGAAAAACCTGTCCTGTCTTGTTTAGTCTCGAACAAGATCTTATTTCTGTACTGCTTTTAATGTCCAGCTTTGCTACTCCAGCTAAGGTGCATCAGCTTTTTCTTTCCCTGAGTTTTGTCAATCTCTGTTCTGGGAAGTTCTCACCTTCATTGCCTTCAGCAACCCATCAGGATTGTCCATAAACCAAACATCTTTTGTTTTGAAAGACTACCTGCTGGCATGAGACACTGACTTTCCTGATTCTCAGCTATCCTCAAGGCAGCCTGTGCCACAGTATTTATTCAGTATAACATTTACATGATGCTGGTCATGAGTACTTGACACATATTAGTGTGTATTCTGAAGTTAAAAATGTGAGTTTTCCTAAATTTGCTTTTTTCCTAGTGACATAGCTGTTTGTTTAAATGTACAAATGGAGCTATTTATGTTAGTGTTTCATTCAAAGTAATTGAGAGTGTGCTGGTTTTGGCTGGGATAGAGTTAATTTTCTTCCTAGTAGCTAGGATGGGGCTGTGTTTTGGATTTGTGCTGGAAACAGTGTTGATAACACAGGGATGTTTTCGTTACTGCTGAGCAGTGCT